GCGAAAGCAGCTCTATTCGACTAGCATGCTTCCTCGTCGATATCGTCGCATGCGAGGCCAGCTGGCAATATTACGGGCCGCTCAGAGAAGGCTTCAGCAGCGGCTGCTCGCCACTCTGTCGCAGAACTACGCCTTAATCGTTTCTATGCAGGAGCTCAAGCGCCAACTTAGCCAGCAAAAACTGGCCAAGGACGAAGAGATTCGAAGACTCGGTCTAGAGATAAGCGCTCTCCGTCATCTCGTGAGTACTAGGGCCCTTTACAGCGACAATTCACTTACATTGTCAGACCCCTCTTCTAGTGGTTCAAGACAGCCGGTATCGTCGTCCGAGGGAGCAACAATAGACAAAAGATGAATTTATTAGTGGTTAAGCTGGCTTTCTATTCCTACCAAGTTCAAGTCCTGGCCTTTTCAGATTGAGTTCCGTCTGCCTCCATTTCTGGTATCATAGCTAATAAATGCGCCGGATTTGGCCGGTAACGGTGGGAGAGTTTGTAAGTAGTTACCTTTCGGCTGAGTCTGCTTGCAAATTGGATCGTCTGCTGTAACTATATTCTCATTTTCAGTAGGCAATAAGTGCTGCATCTTGTAGTCATTGAACATCGGGTCCAGTCGCGCGACGGCGCCGCGACTGTAGCCAGGCGGCCCCATCATCCTACCCACTTCATTAAACACGCTCTACCCAGGAATGGGCGGCCACGATGGCAAAGAAAGAGTAAAACCAAAACATTGCGTAGATGCTTGGCAACACGCTGTACGGTAACCGCCTAAGTTTATAAAGATCATGCTGCTTTATCATGAGCTGGTAGTAACGATGAGTAGACCTTGTACCTTATGCTAGCACAAATGCCCCCTATTCGAGCCAACAGAGTTGGATTCAGTTAGCACTACCTACCCATTTTTGAGAAAGCACGAATTTGACGAGGAAGCAAAACTCGTTGGAGTTGGGGGGTGGCGCGGTACCTGAAAATTAGGTGGCGGGACAGCGTCCGCTCGGCCATGAAGAAAACGGTACCGCCCAGTGAAGCTGAGCGCCAATGTTAGAACTCGGTGGTGGATCACAAACAAGGCTGGCACGGGTCTCGGCCATCGGAGTGGGTGCTGTGGTGAACGGAGGTCTGTGGGGCCGAATGGGCCGCTCATAATCTTGCCGCCCGGGGTTGGTGGTTTGCTCGGCTGAAGTCTGGGCTATGAATACGGTTGGTTGCTTCTAACCGCCAACTTAGTAGGATGGGTGAATACTTCGTATTACTACTGAGACAAAGACAGGGTTCAGATACCTACCCCTGGCTACAGAACAAATATTATAACATGGCCTCGCTCAGCCAAATTTGAGAATCATCTTGCAGCAACTTTCCAAGATGGCGACTTTGTCACTACTTCCCCCTGAGCTATTGTCTATTATCCTTTCTTTTTTGTCTGTTCGGGATATTGCCGCAGCAATACAAGCACACCGCATATTCTATAACTTTCGGGCATTTCTTCTATCTGAAGATGCGAAGCATGAGCATAGAGCTTTGCTGTGGGCATCCACGAGAGGCAACTGTGAGCTGGCTCTAGCCTCTATTAAGGTTCACAAAGCCCTACAGCGGCCTCTTGCCGGCATTTTTGATGGCTGGGGGCAGTCTCCTCTCATAATTGCTGTTCAATGTGGTCAACTCCTTGCAACCGACCTCCTGCTAAATGCGGGCTTCAACCCAGACGAAAAATGGGACGACGATATGTCGCCGTTGCATTGCGCCGTCAGAGCTGGCAACTATAAAATTTGCCAACGTCTCCTGGAAGGAAAAGCAGACAAAGACATTTCCGACGAGCACGGCGCCAGGCCCCTCCACTTTGCAGCTCAGGAAGCCAGCGCCGACATTGTTAAGCTTCTTCTCAGCTTCGGCGCCAACGCAGATGCCATAGACAATGACGGCGCCACACCATTGATCGAGGCTGTCAGATGCGGAAATGCGCCGGTGGCTCATGCGCTTTCGAGCTACACTTTGAATATGTCGGCCCGAAATTCTTTCGGTTCGACAGCCATGGCCTATGCTGCTGCCGCAGGCGATGTCTCCATCATTCGCCAGCTGTTGTTGGTCGGTGCGGAGTCTGACACGCCGAACCTGGATTTCGCTACACCATTGCATCTTGCAGCGCAGCATGCCAATACCGAGGCCCTCCATATTCTGATTGATGGAGGTGCAGATGTTAATTCTCGGGATCGAACGTCAGAGACCCCGTTGCATAAGGCATCGTATGCCGGCAGCAGCGCCTGCGTGCGAGCGCTCTTAGACCACGGTGCCGATTGCAATGCAGGTACCCAGTCGGGCATGACTGCACTGATGTACGCCGCTATGCAACGAGATCTTGGCGTTGCGCAGGAACTCTTAGAGCGCGGGGCTGACGCGAGCAAGACGAGCCACGACGGGCTTACAGCCTATACCTACGCGGCTATGGTCGAGAATATAGAAACCGCTCGGCTTCTACACAGCTGTACTCCACTCAGTATAGTTGGTCGGTCCTCCGCCCGCCATCATCGCGTGATGGATTGCCTCATGATGATATCGACGAGCATTCCGTTCCTAGACGACGACGGCAAAGCTAAGCTATGCATGATGGCGTCCGAATCCGGCGCGACGGATATAGTCGCAGCCTTATTGCCAACCATCAGCATCGACAAAGTAGACAGTTTCTCGATGCTTGTACTCGCGGCCTCACAAGGCAATTCCTATTTGGTCGATCTTCTTCTCCATTACGGGTCTAGACTTAGTCCCGCCGGCAGGATTGGGGCCAGGGGCGAGACTGCGCTACACTACGCCGCGCTACACAATGACACCGGGCTGGCCGGTGCACTGCTGGTACGGGGCTCCGATCCGAATGCAAAAGACTCGGCCGGCTCGACGCCATTACACTGGGCCGCTAGTGCCGGGCACGACGATGTCATACACCTTCTCGTCAAAGCGGGTGCTCAGGTGCATTGCACGGATGACTCCCGCGCGTTGCCCGTTCATTATGCGGCATTACAAGGTCATAATGAGATGATCCAGTCTCTTTATGCGTATGGTTCGCCACTCGATAGCGAAACAGATGCTGGCGAAAGCGTCCTTATGTTTGCTGTGAAGTCCGGCAGACTTTTCGCGGTAGACACACTTCTTGCCCATGGTGTATCCATCGGCACGCAGTGCCAGAAAGGCTGGACGGCTCTGCATGTTGCCGCCTATCACGGGCAACCGGTCATAGCGACGCGACTGCTTGCCGCAGGTGC